GCTGTGTTTGTGCAGCCAACTATATGCGTGAGAACAAATTATTGATCAGTCAAATGTGGAACATCCAAGAGTGCCATTTTCTTGCAGTTTAGATTTCATCTCAATCACTGACGTCAACTACATATCCTCTTCGTATGGACAAACGTATCTCGTTGCTGCAGTTATATGGTTCACAAGTAGATAAAATAAACATTTAACGCAAGAAAATTATGAAAAATTAAGGATGAAGCGTCATACTTGTCTTCCCAACCTCCATGCCTGTCAAACTAAACGTTATATATAAACACAACATTGAAACAGCTAATATATATTTAGGGGATAGGATACGGGAAGGGTTGCTTTTAAAAAGTATAACGTGTTTCAAGAAAAATGTCAACGTGTAATATTGACTCAGGATTTACCCCCAGGTAACGTTGTTCGGTTAACATTCTCAATGTCCTAAAATCAGATGTCTTGTGAATGCCCCACGGAATACAAAATGCGGGTTTTGTGGCAATGACTGAGAGGGTTTACTCCCAAAAGTTAGACGTCCCAAAAGTCATACGTCCTAATTGTCAGACAAATCAATCAGGCGTGACTGTGATTACAACCTAGTCTTACTTACTGATATAATGAACCTGTCCCATACACTAACGAGATGGTTTTCACATTTTTATAGAAATATTTTTTGATCAGAATACTAATGTTGACAGTTAACCTACAGAAAACTCAAATTGTTGTTTTTGGAAGAGGTGAACCCTTAGCGAGAAATTGGAAATGGTTTTATGGAGGTGAACGTGTCTTAACAGTTGATTCATACAGATATCTAGGCATTCCATTTTCATCTTCTTGTAAATTCAATAAATGCATATTAGATTTATCATCTCGGGGTAAAAAGGGCACTTCTAGAAGTACTACACCACATAAATTAGATAATGTTGACTATTCTGTATTTTTCAAAATATTTGATATCCAAATTCAACCAATCAGTTTGTATGGTGCCGACGTATTGGGTATTAATACATTTTATAAGATTGAAAATGTACATTGAACTACATGTAAGAAGTTCTTAAATGTTGGTCCCCAAACACCAAATGTAATTGTTTATGGTGAATGTGGACGTTACCCAATGTATATAAATGCACAACGGCGTTTCATAAAATACTTGCTTAAACTTGTTAATATGAATCAACCAAGAATTAAATAAAAAGTTTATGATATGCTAATGTATTTCGATAATTGTGGTTATGATAACTATGTTTTATCTGTGCGTAATTTATTGTTTTCATATGGATTTGGTTGTTTGGTTATTTCAAGGTGTTGTCAATGAATCCCAGTTTCTTCAAATGTTTAAACAAGTTGCAGTTGACATGTATATACAGTCATGGAATAGTACAATTGAAGAAAGTTCAAAGTATAAGCTGTACAGACAATTTAAAAGCCTTTTAGAGCCAGAAAAATATTTAACTATGTTAACAAAAAAGAAACACCGATTATTCTTACTAGGATCAGAGATTTTCCATGCTTGTTTTTACAATGTTCACTTTGATCAAAACAAGATTATAGATTTTGCATGCTTGTTTTTACGATGTTCACTTTGATCAAAACAGGATTATAGATTTTTTTATGTTTTTGAGTTTTCATTAACCTTATGGAGTTACTTTCTTTCTAATATTAACTGTAACGCTTTAGCCGCAGGGGTTTTCAGTATGTATGAACGTCGTCTTAAACATCATTCGTAATTGCATTCAGTCAAGATAATAACAAAAATAACATTGATATAATGCTTTACCCATCCACAAGGTGCAATTGTTTTGTATTTTATGCATCATCTTGGTAATATTGCCAATTATTTTATGAGTTTTACACTTTATATATTTTAACGCAATTTTAATGTATAATCGTGTCTCGTAGGCCTGAATAGGCCGGATATTTTCTCCAACTTGTCGATGAAATGTATTTATATATCTAGAAAATATGTGACACGGTAATAAACTATTTTTCTTCTTCTTCTTCTTCTTCTTCTTCCTAACATTGTTTTTCCAACATAAACAATATAAAATAAAGTCATTGTCATTATCCATAATCCCTTCTCTTTGTGTTTGGATTAGTACATTTGGAGTAGTCCATTACTTAACGAAGGTAACAGTGTAGTGAACCTCAGTGCAACCAACCATAACCTTTGTTGTTTGAACGCGTCTAACTTTTCGGACGTCTAACTTTTGGGAGGACACCACTGAGAGCACTGTCTGCGAAGTCCAGATATTCGAATGGAAAGCATTTTAAAGTGATAGACACTTCTGGTCAATCAGGCGCGTAGCAATCCAGTTTCTACTTGAAAGCCCGATAGGTTGAAAAGGCTTGCTCAGCCTTTTTAGCAACAATCATGTGTGAGCACGGGCTTTTTGTCATTATGGTTGCTAAGTCCCTCTCAATGACTACGCACACTGAATATATTTTCTCGGCAACCCATCATACATATGGAAGGGGCCAGTTTGAGCTGCAAGCGCTGGCCAGTTAATGTGGGTTTAAATCTACTACACGTTGACATGCCCATCTGTAAAGGAAAAGGCTATCTTTTATTAAGTCAACTGGGTTATCGTGGTATAATACCATTCTGTCTTGGTCAAAGTCCCTCCAACACCATATAATAGACATTAAAACATTAACATCACAGAAATTTGTACTGTTTAAATAGATTTGACACTGAAAACTGGTTGCACGGGATGTGGAATGGAAACAAGCTGCGTGCATACAGAATGTTTAAATCTAGCCCAAATGCTGATTTAAGCCCAAATGCTTAATGTATATTTATCAAGTGTCAAATCGTCAGCACCGAAGCCTGTCAGCGGAGTTGAGATGTGGAACGCTTCCGTTACAAATAGAGCTCGGCAGGTTTCTCCGCCCACCTACCCATTTGCAAGATCGATTATGTAAAATGTCTGATTCAGATGCTATGGAAAACGAAATTCATTTTCTGGGAGAATGTTGTTTGTATTATGATATCCGTTCAGGGTCATGGAAGCAAGCCACAAATTTAAACAGTGTCCTTCCCTCGCTTAGCCTCACTGATATTTAATAAATATACTCTCCCAAAGAAGAAACGCATATAGTTTCAACTGTATTTTTATGTTTATTTTGAAACATCTTGTAGGCTTTATGAGTCAATGAAATATAGCGAAATTGCACACTGGGAATGCAGACTTATCCGTCTTTGGCACCAACTCGAGGAAAGTCAGTTTGAGTGTCACATGGAGACCTGTGGTGGAGCTGAAGTCAATACCTCGTGTGACCACCGTGGACATCCAGAACTGCACGGCATCGCCTCGGCATCGAACGAATAAGTCTCAGAATCTCGTGTTGCCCAATCGCAGCCCACTCTGCTTGTTGTGCCTGTGCTAGTTGCTGAAGTGTCTGGGGCTGAGGGTTACGGCGTCGCACCCGTCTGTCAAGGGCATCCCACAGATGTTCGATCGGGTTTAAGTCCGGTGATCTTGAGGGCCAGGGGAGCACATTGATGTTGTGGTTCTGGAGGAAGTCTCTAGTGTGACGTGGGGCCTGTGTGTTGGAAACCTGGGCGATCAATGATAGGTTCCAGGCCTGAACGTTGGTGCACCATCACCAACTCGATGTCGACGATGTTGTTGTCGAAGCACAAGGTCCAAAATAATGTCTTCGCATGGCACGTAAACTCAGCGACGATCTTGTTGTCGAAGCCTGTTCAAAACGGTCTGTGCATAAAGCCTCCTGTGCAATACGGGTATTTGTTGAGCGGTACTGGTCGCCGTAGCTGTTCGATGACGCAGGTGATGTACCCGGATGTAGCGATCCTGCGCCGCAGTGGTCGCTCGAGGTCGCCCACTATGAGGGGCATCTGCTACCGAATTCTGCCGGCGATATCTCTCCCAGAGCCGTGAAATGGTGCTTTGGTGAACATTCATGCGTCGGGCAACTGCACGTTGAGACTGGCCAGCTTCAAGCAAACCAATGGCGATATGACGGTTGGCTTCACCTAGACGTGGCATTTTGCGTTCGTCAACAATATTCCAAATACAGGTGAATAATCGACAGATAGCGATCAACCTTTTATACCCATCATTGAGACTATCTGATCCCCAACTTTCACGTGCATTGCATGTGAATTGTGTATTCTGTGACACTACATGCCGAAATTGAAAATCATGCTGTTAAATACGGGTATTTTACGGATGGTGCGTTTTGTTGTGATGTTTCAAAACATAAACACCATAGGACTCATAAACAGAGCAAAACCTTTTGTAAAATGAATCACGTTTTCATTCATTGCTACATGAAATTGCTATTTTCACGATGCGTTTCTTTTTGGGAGAGTATATATTTATTGCAAAATGATAAGCTTTATAAATCTTTAGCCGCAACTGTAAAATGGTACATCTTCGTCGCTGCATAATATTGTAAAGTATGTACTAATTTTGTATATTAACTTTAACAATGTTAAGTATTACCATATTTAAATTTGAGTTATATCTCATTAATGTTTGTGTGTGTTAAACTGTGCATGTACGGGTGAATGAATCCGTATGGGGGGAGGATCCGAGCGTGTCCATGAGTGAGTGAATCCGTATGGAGTTAAGGAATTCGTGGGCGCATAGGTATATCTCATTAATGTTTGTGTGTATTAAAATGTGCATGTACGGGTGAATGAATCTGCATGGCGGGAGGATCCGAGTGTGTCCATGAGTGAGTGAATCCTTATGCAGTGAGTATCTGTGCGTGAAGGAATTCGTGGGCGTATAGGTGTTTGCATTGGTGCGTGCGTGCGTGCGTGCGTGCGTGCGTGCGTGCGTGCGTGTATGAGTGTGATATTTATGTTGTATGTATATCTTAAAGTATTACATTTGTAATATCGTATCTCGTAGGCCTGAGGGACGGATTCTTGTTTTATATGTATTTTATTGGTTTTATGATATGAACAGCATGTGACACGCAAATACAATATATTTCTTCTCTTCTTCTGTAACACAGTTTCCTTTTATCAACAGCAGCAACAGTCAGAGACAATGAGCACGTCGACATTCGACGACGTCTCCTCGACATCATCGTCGTACCAAACAACGCCATCGCCTATGAGTGTCTACCACAGGGGTAACCGGTCAGAACGGAGGAACGCCAAAACCAAGAAGAAGAAACAGGAACCAAAAAAGAAGGAAAAGGAAAAGGATGCCACAACCGTATTAGGTAATGATCCTCAGTAGTGAATCAAACTCAAGCCAAGACTACCATACGCCTCTTTTTAAAATCTATTTAGCAACACGTATGTCTTAAGATACCAATGCTACGGCAGTTATTGCTGCAAACGTTATTACTGTGTTTCAGTGGACAAACTCCACTCATCGCTGGACAATCTTGACCGTTTCCTTCAAACGAATCTCCAGGATGAGATATTTCTGGCCCGTAAGGACATGATGCCAAAACACTTTGAGAAAAGTGAGAAGTTGAGGAGCCGTTGGAAGAAACTGGAACAAGATCTGGTCTACGAGGAACTTCTCGTCACCATCAACGATGCCAAGGATAGGAAGAAAAGTGTATGTATCAAATACCCTGCCATCCTTGATTTGGATAGGTTTCTATAAAGATTGAAAAACTCTGAATTTCTTGAATGTTTTCCGTTTGGTAGTGGGCCTTTTTTCAATTCAAGGGTGACAACTCTGCTTCTCATCCTTTAACAGGGTGTTTCATAGTTCACAATATCCATACTCATCAATGGGATTGTATGTTGTTGGTGCAAAGACGTTCCATATGCGTGTATCACTATCGAACGTTGACTAGTATATATTATAGACGTTATTGAACCTTCCATTTTATATCACCCTTGTCTCATTAATTATCTGTCAATGGTTTGTCCACGGCATCTATGATGTTAAAACGATCCATTTTCCTATTGTTCAGATGTATATTTACATCATATTGCACTGGGATGGTTGAGAAACATTAAGTCTAACTGTAAATAATGTATTATATTCCCTAAATGAAATGAAATGAAGGACGTTCCATGCATACTTGCTGCATTTGCACACCCAGGCAGCATATTTGTTCAGGCATGAAAATAACTAGGTGTTCTCCGTTGATGAAAATGGACAAACCACGTCACCACGTATTTCCACCATAAATGGTTAACTTGAACAGCCATCCATGTGGACATGGTGAAAACTTTAGGGGAGGATGTTCCTTCCATTACCACAGTTACACGTGGGCAGCGGAGTACAAGATTGGCAGAAGGAGAGCCTCGGAGATGATCCAAGATCAGGACAACCTTCAGCTGCCATCTCTTAGGAAATGTTGATGACATACATGCAATGATTATGGATAGATCATCAACTCACATACCGTCACATAGTCAGTACAATTGGCGTCTTTCGCGGTCAAGTGGAGAACATTCTAGGGAAATGGATACTGACAAATGTTCAGTAGTCTGGATTCCACGATCTCTGACTCCTGATCAGAAACGTTCTGGGTTCTGTATCTCATGTGAAGCAGCCCAGGTTATTTTGTTGAGCGATTATAACCATTGATGGTATATCTCTATCAACGGGAAACGAAACAACAGCCAAAGCAGTGAAAACATTTAACGTCTCCTTCGATCTGGAGAGTAGGAAGGATAAGATTGAAGAAACAGCTGCCCTGCAAATATGATGCAGCTAATTATGACGCCATTTCTGCTTTTGAGAACATTTCACACAGGAAGCCTTACAAACCAAAGGAATCAGGACAATGTCGCATTGATGACAAACGTATGGGGACTTTGGATGCAAATGCGTTGTTAAATAATTAGGATCCATTCTCATCAACGAAGTCCATCATAGTTAGGCTCAGAACACACCAGCAATCCTTCGCATACCGTATTTTCACTTAAGGATCATGCCAGTTATGTTCCTATCTAATAATTAAACTATTTTGATTTCCTGAGTGTAGATATAATGTTTATACTACTGCAAACCTGCGTTGTTTCGGTAGGTATTTTATCACTCCTCATACCATTCGTTACAGATTTTAAACTTTCTGTTTGTCTTTGGTTTATATGTGTGTTTATTCTACACATTTTCACTACCCCAAACACATTCACCTCGTCACGGTCACAAACACAGTCACCTTGTTTCACTACCACAAACACATTCACGTTTTTCACTGTCACAGACATATTCACTTTTTTTACTGTCACAGACACATTCACTTTTTTCACTGTCACAGGCATATTCACTTTTTCACTGTCACAGACATATTCACTTTTTCACTGTCACAGACACATTCACTTTTTTCACTGTCACAGACACATTCACGTTTTTCACTGTCACAGACACATTCACTTTTTTCATTGTCACAGACACATTCACGTTTTTCACTGTCACAGACATATTCACTTTTTTCACTGTCACAGACATATTCACGTTTTTCACTGTCACAGACATATTCACTTTCTTCACTGTCAAAGAGACATTCACGTTTTTTACTACAACAAAAATATTTACTTTTTCCTTCACCGAACACAATTATTCACGAACAGTAATGTGCAAGTAATAATTGGAAAGGCATTAATAAAGCAAAACAAATCAATGCAAAAGTAATCAACAAAACAACCGAAAGTCTGTTTCATGGAAAAGGTAATTATTTTGTGAAACGTACCTTTTTATCAAGACTAATTGCCCTTTTAACCTTCTATTCTACTTGCCTAGCAACATATACAGTGTATTTTAGTTTTAACAAATTGCGAAAGTTAATTATGAATGTTCACAATAGCCTTTTGAATGGAAAGTGACATTTAACAAAAACAAAAGGATGTTAATTTGAGTTCATGGCCCTGAATCCTAAATTCATATAACTGAATCATTTAACAACACGGAGCTTGAACACCCACGGTAATTGGCTTGGATTAATGTGGTACATTTTCAAATCCTTAAATATAGTATAACATAAGTGTTGGGGGCTTCATGAATTGTTAAATATATATCTAATTTCATGAAAAATAATAATAGGGAATCATACGTAGTAAGTCATTGTAATTAATTATATTTAAACACAATAATTGTCGATACTGTTTATATAAATGACAACTCAGTTACGTCTAAGTTCCACAGTTTTACATTACGAGTATCTTTTTAGGAACTACATATAGGAACAGTTAATTAGTTATCTCGTTATCATCGTGTCATTCCTCGGATGATTGAGACAGTTATAGTTACTTCTTTCAAGTATTCAAAAATACTCCGGGCTAATCTTAACATTCTTTCTCTCGGTGATGACATGTATGTTTCAAAGTAAGATAGATAAGGCAAATGTTCCATGTTTAGATAACGGCAATAATAAAATAATCCTTCCTTCATCAATTTTAGTATCTGAGCGCTGTTGTGGAAATGATATTACATTTTACAAAGATAAATTATCTACGAACTCATATGTTATAACTATGCTTAATAATCTAAGATATCGAACAACACTGAATAAATTATCTGAATTAAGTTAAATGTCACAGTTTTCTGCTATAAATAATGAAAAGTGCATGCTCTTCATCTAAAGCCAAAACAAGATAACTCAAACCACAGTTGTTAAAAAATACTAGTTCATTTTGGCTTTTTGTTGTTTCTAAAAAACCAGTAATCCGTTGGCTTTATTTAAACTTCACGGGCTCAAATTTTTCTTTTTATGGAATCATTTCAAATCATGTAACACGACCCATTACGTATTAAACCACAGATTGTACATTGCTGTTCTCACTTCCACCGTCACGGTCACAGGGCACTTGTTGTTTCAGCGCACCAAAGAGGCATTTAAACGTGAAATTTATTGTCTCTTAAAGACCGGAAGTAATCCTTTGACTCCAATTGGAGAGGAACCTGAAGAAAAGGGGCCAAAGTCAGCGACCTCTGACAGTCATCGACTCAGTCCGGAAGGAGCCAGTTCCCATGACAACGACGTGGAACACGAGTATGTTTCATTTACGGTATCATTCAATAGGAATAATGTTTGTACGGTAATCTACAGAACAGACTATTCCATTGGTCTGGGGCAGGGTTTTCGTAGGAAACAAAATGTTATTTCGACCACTGCTTCAAAACATATTGTATTTCACTCCTTGATGTGGGCCCCGAACAAACGTAAAGAATAGTCATTCATAGTTTTGTAAAACTCGTCACAGTATCATATTTTGTATAAGTACTTTCTCTGGAACAGACTTAAATGTCAGTCACTAAAACGAAGGACGAAATCTGATATGGTCTACTCTCTGACTCACGAAAATCCTAAAATTGTATAGGTGGGACTAATTAGGAAAACTGTTTTGCTCCATGTTTTGGAACTTCTCAAACTAACTACTCGCTCTTTTTCCCAGTCACGGGTAAGTTAACAACGTCAAACTTCATTTTATATCTCATCTCAGTATAATATATATTACAAGATAGGAGATATATGATATCAATACAAAGATGTGCAGATTTGAGAATGGCTTTGTCCCCACCTTGTCAATAAAAAACAAATATCCGCTCAAAGACCAGTTTGACGCTATATATTGAAATGTTACAAATAAAAATAGTTTTTTATGGCCTGGATTATATCAAACAGAGACTTCAATGTTTCGTGACGTCAGTAACAAATACCTTATATTCAGAGAACTTTTCATTCATCGGTCGCTTGATCTTTAGTGTAGGGCATATAAGAACAATTACATTTTTGCTTATAATATTTTGTTAGATGAAATTCAACATTTCACTTTAATTCTCCAGTTATCAGTTCTTAAAGGAAGATATATAATGTGTTTGAAACCTATAGTCTCTTTCAAAATAACACAGGCCTCTTATTATCTTGTAGGGATTCAGAGTGAGGGAATTAAACCAATTAAAACAGATTGGCTGGTCGCAAAGTGTAGAATAACTAAGTATTGAATAGTGAATAGAGCCTATCAAATACATAATGATAAACAAAATTTAATGAATTTTGTAAACAACACATATGGCACAGAAAATATCCTGTGATTTGATAATTCACTTAGGGGGTTCCGACCATAAATGATAAATTATTAAATAAATTATATAAATCAGAAATTTATAATTATCAGAAATTAACGAAGCGAAAAGTCATATTATATTTTCTACTATCATTTTATATCTATTTTCACAGAAAATCTAGCTCTACAAAAGGTAAAGGTTCATCTAAAAGCAAACCTAAAGGACGACAAGAAAGTGTTCATAGTAATGGAAAGGAAGTTGAAAAACATCACACCAAAGCTGATATTCACAATGCCCCAGAGCAACGAATTACAAACTCAAAATTATCAAGAAATACCGAGGTGGACGTACTATTAAGTGATGTGCCTTCAGAGGAAGAATATCGTTCACAGGAGCACCGATCTTCTAAGAAAATATCAACTCAAAGTGATATATCTTTGAAAAGAAACCAAACGTTTGAAGGTTCTAATGACAGTTTTGAGAAAAGAGTTTCAACAGTGTCAAATCCTAGCTATGTGCAAAGCAGAAAGACGTCAGTTCTCAGTAAAAATTCGAATAGTAACATTACACTTCTAAGTAAACAATCTACAATTGTGTCGACTCAGTCAACTACCATTGGAGATGAACTGGCCGAAGACGAAGAGGATGAGGAACTTGGCGAGGAAGATGATGAAGAGAACATTGAAGAAGATGATGAGGAGATAGAAGAGAATGAAGATGAATCAGTGGAGGAGGAGGAAGGAGAAGAGGACGAGGACGAAGAAGACGATGAGGAAGAAGAAGATGACGAGGAAGTAGATGAAAATGATGAGGAAGAAGAAGATTTACAACCGTTGATGGAATCAGAAAAGAATATTAGAGATGATTCTCAGATTAAATCTATGGTAGAGGCAGATGTTGAAGATGAGGAAAATATTACTGAAAATGAGAAGTTAAAAGAAGCTGAGATTGCTCAGGAGGCTGTTTCGGAAAGAGATTCCGTAAGTCAGTGTAGCCCTGGAAGAAAAGACAGCACAGAGGAAGAGGAAGAAAATGAGAATGGTGAAGACAATGATGAAACTGAGATCGACGATGATGAGGAAGAGGAGACAGGGGTCGAAGATGACACAGAAGAGGAAGAAGAGGAGGAAGAAGGGGAAGGAGAAATGGAAAAGACGAAGCGAAATTCAGTAATAGTAAGTGAATGTAGACCAGAGATTGATAGACATCCAGTGTCAAAGGCCAATGTTCTTGCGCGACAGGAAAATGTACAGGAAGATGTACAGGACTTGGATGAAGATGATTCAAATAGTGATGAAGATGATAATGATGATGAAAATGAAGGGGAGGAAGAAGATGATGAAGAAGACAACGAATGTGGAAAGATCGAGGAAAACTTAGAAGACGACGAAGAAGAAGTAGAAGAAGAAAACGAAGAAAAGATTGAAAATGCAACAAACAAAAAGGAAGTCAAAATGTCACATAAAATGTCCGAAGAGTCTTCTGAAAACCAAATGTACGAAAATGATCATGACACTGACCCCAGCAGTGGGGAGATAAAGACACCGTTAGATATTCAAATAGGGCATAAAGAATCAACACGTAGTCCTAAAAAGAATAGCATTTCGAAGAAAGAGACGATATCAGACCAACCAGTGTTTTCAAATGTTAGAAGTGTTGTAGATTGTGTGTTAGGTGACAAGAACACATCAGTAGTGAACTGTGACTATCAGAATCAAATCACCGTCGACAAGAATCAAAATGGTATTGAAAATCAAAATCAAAAGAAAAGATCAACAACTCCCGAGACGTTGATGGGTGATGGAGGGGTATACATTCATCGACCGAAGAAGCAGAGGAAGAAGGAACGTCCACCCTCTACACCTCATAGTCGACATGGAAAACGTAAAGGCAAATACGAAGAGAATCCCTATATTGCTACTGCTAATGAAATCAGAAGACAAATACACCCAACGAGAGTCGAGAAGAACATTACAGATACGAAAACGAAAGACCACAAAACTCATTCTAGAAGAGGAAAGGTTCCTAAGATGCTGGGTCTAGTGAATGAATTAAGTTCACCGAGAGTTCACATGAGCATATCACCTTCAACACGTAATGATAACCACGTGTCACCAAGAAGCAGACTTGGTAGTCATTCTGAAATCAATAAAAGAGAAATAAATAAACGACAGAGTAAATCCAAATCTCCAGCTTCAAAGTCCACATCTTCAAGGGACAGGAGTAGGAAAAGGAATGTTTCAGAAACGTCAAAAGCACCCGCACTCCTCTCTGTAAGTACTGAAATGATGGTACTCCATAAAGACAAGATGCATGCTAATCCAAAGGATGGATCACCCATACATGCACACAATAGGAACCGAAAATCTAAATCTAACAAGAATGGTAAATTGAAAAAAGAAACAGATCTGTCTTCAGAAAATCAAGAAGATTCATTTCCACTGAGTGAACCAAGCACACGTGTACGAAAACAAGGTGAAGCTTGTCTCAAACAACCAACCAGTAAAATAGACACTGACAAAAGTGGGGTTGAAATGAGGAATAAAGAATTGGGCAAAAGTGACGAAGGTGCAATTTCACAACCAGACATACTTAGTGCTTGTAAAGAAGGTAGCTCAGAGTCCAAACTTAAGCAAAATGAGATGGGTTCAGTAAGAACTAAATGTGATGATGATTCAAAGAAACCTGATAAGAGCTCAAAAGATAAAGCTCCTAGAAAGAGCGTAGTATGCAGAGATGAAACAGTTTCTTTATTCAGAATACAAAGTAAGATTAAGGAGGAAGAAAGCGTGGCTAATGCCTTAGAAGGCCAACCGGAAAGGAAAGCTAAAAAAAGTAGGAAATCAAAAGGCCAAATGGTGCAAAAAAAAGAAGCCTCATCTACCAGAGATGAAGGAATGGATGTAATGAATTATGTACGCAGACCACGCATCGTCTATGATAGTGTGAAGACTAAAAATAGTAACGATACTGTGAAATTGAAAACTTCCCGCCCGAGACGTGCCAAGAAATCAGTTGTTAGAGCAGAAGGTGTTAACAGTGACGCAGTGACAAGTGTTTACGACGGCAAGGTAGAAGTGAGGACTTCAGGCGTGAAGCATAAAAAGAAGGGAAAAGATAAAACGAAAAAAGTGTGCAAAAGTCAAATAGTTGTGTAGATCTAGAATCCCAGGCAACATCAGAAGGATCTGACTCATCAAAGCATAGACTAGAGTCACAGCCAGGGGTTTCGAAACCATCGAAAGAAATGATGGAGCGTGCTCGAGAAGCGAAAGAAGTGTACACTCCACCGCGTCCTTCTCTGGGAGAGAAGAGGGCAGAAAGAGTCAAGGCTGTAGAAGAGATCAGAGCTGAGGAGAAGAGGCAAGAGGAGAGGATAAGGAGGAAGAAGAAGCATGATGTAGAAAAAAGGAAATCAAAATCAAAGAAATCGATTGATTTTCATTAATATATTTTATTTAAGTTCACTTAGAGACATCTACTGGTATGTCTAATTTGAAGATCCCTCCATTGTCTCAATCTGTCGTTACTTTGGCGGAGATGCCTTGTGAATATAAAAAAAATGATTTATCGCTTTTTGAGATAATTTTGGGATTAAGGTTTGTCAATTTCAAGCAGTAAAGCAGCACGTTGCTCTAGTCGATTTTAAGATAACGATATTCCGCTGTGAGATGTAAAAACCTCAGTATCCTTGTTCACATTGTGTGAATTACCTGCTTGAGACTCTTCCGGTCAATTGGAACTGTATTTAACGCTGACACCAAGAGTATTGTAGTTTCATCCAGTCAATGATGTGCAATACAGGTATATATATTTGTTATACTTATTGTGATTGACAATCATAAATATATATTATGCGTCAAGTGTGCCACATATTGCAACGGGGTTACGAACAAATGCTAAATGGATTTAAATATGTACCTGAAATGCATTAATAAATGCCACTCACAGAAGTGAAATGCATTAGTACATGGGCATGTGTATGTATGATCAATATTACCCTTTGGTTGGTCACACACACACACACACACACACACACACACACACACACACACACACACACACACACACACACACACACACACACACACACACACACACACACACACATAACATGAATCTGTCCACAGTGTATGCTTTCTGTAATAGTTTGTATTTACGTACACATAATTTGATGTATATTTGAGTATTCTTTTCTCTGTAAGGGTTAGCCAAGATGTTAACACAATGTGTGAAACCCATTTCTGGTGTCCTCGCCTTGATATTGCTGGAATATTGCTCAAAGCAGCGTAATACTAATCTCACTCACTCCCTATATGTTTAAAGCACTAGCTCGTGATGCCGATGCCCCGTGATCGATTCCTCACGTGGGTAAATTGAATGAAGTTCCATTTCTGGTGTCCTCAACCGTGACGAAGCACATGTGAAACATGTGGTCTCACCTTAGGCAAGTAAGTTTGTTCAAAAGTGCCTCTGTTCACCCAGCAGAAAATGGGTACCCGGTGGGATAAGTCATGTGACTATTAACCTTCTAGCGTCTCACAGGTGTAAATCCACACCCACTCTCTCACCCTGCATGTATGTGGTATTTTTGTTTCTATGTGTGCAGGGGCGGTGGGGTAGCCTAATGGTCTAACGCTCGTCACGCCGAAGACCTGGGTATGATTCCCCACATGGGTACAATGTGTGAAGCCTATTTCTGGTGTCCTCCGCCGTGATATTGCTGGAATATTGCTAAATGTGGCGTAAAACTAAACTCACTCACTCTGTGTGCATACTAATGCTTCATTGTCGACAATGTTATGCTCAAGACGTTTGTCTATGAAGTGTGCACGTAGATATAAAAGGCAACGAAAGGAAATATAGCCTAAAGACAAGCAAATATCGACCCGTGATTGAACCATTCAAAAGGACGGGGAAACTGGGCAAGCATGGCTCTAGTGAAAACTAGTTATGCATGTCTGGAAAGGTGGTTATGCAATGACACAAATATTTCTATCAGGAAAAGGGATGTGATGTAACATGATGATATTTAGAAATATGGTTACGTCATGTAACACTGAGATATAATGATACATGACAATTTCAGGAAATATGGTGATATTATGTAACCTTAAAATATAATGACATAATTATGATGGCAATTTCAGGAAATATGGTGATATTATGTAACATTGAGATATCATGATAATGTCAATTTCAGAAAATATGGTGATATTATGTAACATGGATGGATCATAATATATGCCAGTATCTGAAAACATGGTGATATCTTGAACCATGGAGATATGGAAGTATATGTCACAGTCAAGAGTTATGGCAAACTCATAAATAAGAAGAAATCACACCTGCCAATATTAAGAAAAAGGGTGAGTGTCAACACCAATAAATACGGTAATATCATGTAACACAGAAGTGTCATAAAAGTCCAATGTCAACAAGTATAGAAATATCATGAAATATGGAGACAACTGAAATGGTCTACATACATTGTGGGGAATCGAACCCGGATGTTCGGCATGAGGAGCGGACGCTGTAACCACTGGGCTACCCGATCGCCCCAACATGATGGTGGTCAGACAGGGTTACTTGATGTTATCCTAATCCGACGTCGTTGGTCGGTGCGCATAGTATCCATCACAGGATCGTCTGACCCAGGCTCGTACTATAGTTATTTTCAGAAATATATTTGGAATAATGCTGAGCAAAGATTTAAACAACATGTACATATGTAACGTAACATGGTGCGTTAAAGGTTAGCGCTTGATGTAACATGAAGGGGACACGGAGCGATCATAAATGATGACTGGCTATTGTTTCATGCTTGACATCCACCCCTTACACTTCACAAAACCTGGTAAGAAGGTGACTGACTATTGATTCACATATTGACATCCACCCCGTACACTGCAAAAACCTGGTGAGGAGATGACTGACTATTGCTCACACTTTGACATCCACCCCGTACACTGCAAAAACCTGGTGAGGAGATGACTGACTATTGATTCACACTTTGACATTTCACCCCGAACCCTCTAACAAATCTGGTAAGAAGATGACAAAGTAATGCTTCACACTAGACATTCACCCTCAACCCTATACCAAACCAAGTCAAAAAGGTGACTAACGATCATCAACGCTTGATTCATCCCGCACCCTGTGCAAAATTGGTTCTTCTTGAACTGTATATTCATGTCTTATTTATACAACTTACCGGTTCAACCTTTTATTTCATTGCCACAAAGTACTCAAATGCACTCAAAACCTTTTCATGCATACCTGCTTCTCATGATTCTCTGTTCCACATAATGAATTTAGGTAAAGACAACGCAACAAACAAACACTTCTATTTCGTTATGTTACGTTGTGAGATTGGTTATGTGACCATGTCGCATGATGACAAAAGGTGTACCTTGAACTCAGTATATTGTACATTATATATTTATGTTAAGAGATGCACTGTCGATGTTGACATTTACAGGCAGTTATCAGAGAACTATCTAGACCTTTATGTTTGATAGTACCGCATACCATGGCCCAGAAACAGTTGATCAGGTCATTTATGACCATGTATTATTCATCTGCTATCGTTTCAACGTCGTTTGTAAAGTAGAGGAGTTGGACTCTCTCTAGCAAATACAGTTATCGATCTTGATGTGAAATGCCAGTGTCCGTTGAATTAAGGGAGATAACTCTTCACGGACTGTTTTGAAATAACGGGGGTCAGCTGGTAGGTGTATAGAGCTCATGTACATTCTGGGTACAAAAATGGTTCATCTTGATGGAATCAGCATGACCAAACCCGGTCTGGGTGATCATTAAATAGCAATATTGGTGATGTGGTTTATACAAATCTGTACAAACCCACTTACAATTTGAAGCATAACGAAGGAAATCTATTCAGTAATGTATTTTGGGTTGAGCTATTTCAAGGTCTGATGCTGAGGGTCTTGACCATAATGGCCGAGGCTAGCTTCAAACAACTATGGGGATAAAACATATAATGCAGATATCCTTAGACACAAATCGTGCCAAAACGTTATTATATCTAATGTTTTGTATGGAAATATGAATTTATTTTTCACTGAATACAGTGTAATGGAAAGTGAATATACAAGATGGCGCTCGTGTTTTCTAACAACGATATTTTACGTACTAATATGTTAGCCTCGAATGGTTTCTTATGGATGTGGAGAGGGTTATGCCGCTTCTATTAAAGGGTAAAAGTTGTGATTGCTCATTGAATTGATTGCCTTAGAAAAGTTGGATTTTTATAAATAAATACTCCTCCATAGTTCACTCAGTCATCATCTGGAAGTGTATTCTTATCATGCAACATATATTTGACGGTATATTAGCGGTTTGTATTCATTTTGTCAATAGAAACACTTAGTTGAAGTGATGGTATTACACATAATACACAAACCTCTGAAAAATCCAAGCTTAATTTTTTTTAAATAATGGTGAACATTATAGAAAATATGTAGCAATTATTGTTTTGTAAATTAATAATTTGCAATTGTTTTTATTCATGAAAGTTTTTATTAACTTTATGTCAGTGTCCCATCTCACCACGGTTCACATACGTTTGAAACACATCTATGTTGTTACTTTAGTATGTATGTATGTATGTATGTATGTATGTATGTATGTATGTATGTATGTATGTATGTATGTATGTATGTATGTATGTATGTATGTATGTATGTATATGTGTGTGTGTGTATATGTATGTATGTTTGTGTGTGTGTATGTATGTATGTGTTTGTGTGTCTGCATGCATGTATGTGTGCGTGCGTGCGTGCGGAATTTTATATTACATGTGTCTTTATATCATACTGAATATATATTTTTGTAATATGTGTATATTTTTATTGAATGTATATATTGATTATATACAGTATATTATCAAATATTTCAGAGAATAGAAAAACTTGTGATGTCCATTTGTAACCTCGGTTCAGTGTTAAAGGTTCTTGCGAATGGTCAGATGACCCAGTTGTCTAGAGTTGCGCCCCTTACCTCCGCGGCGTGAGGTTCACCATCATTTCAATGACATGGTCTCTAATTTCACCAAACTTATAAACATCTGTTTTACCGGAATTAAGTTCATGGTGCTATTCAAAACGGCTGAACACCCCATTTATTCACCTAACTAGAATTTCTGGTTTTGAAGAACATGTACATTCCACATATGTCTAGTACATTCTTAAACCAATCGAACGTTTCCAAAGTAGTCATAATGATCAGTTCTTGCTGTACATGGGGTGTATTGTAATACACATGCTGTATGTTGTGTATTCCACTAGTGTATAGCCTGTATGTCGTAGGGGCGTATGTAGAACACCTGGTGTCATCACTGATTTTCAGTGATCAATTCATAACCTATTCACAGCTGTTTTGCCCTTTACACCAAACGGAATTTGCTGCTGAGGATAGTCAAGACTGGGTTTTCTTTTGCACTGACGTTCATTTATTGTATTCAACTGATGTATACATGGTATGACGTTATGGGGTAGCCTAGTGGTTAAAGCGTTCGCTCGTCACGCCGAAGACC